GAAATACTCTATACCCCTCAAAATCAAGAAAAATAACAAAAATATTGCCTATATTTGGTGCCTTACACCCTATACCCACACCGTGTAATATGCCATAAGCTTAGTATAGCATAGGAAAATACACTGTACTAATGGAGTCTTATACGCTGTATAGCTTGCCATATGAACAAAGATACACATTTAAAAATTTATTTTGTCGATTTATATAATTACAATTCGTATGAAAATTTACGACAAAATCACAAATAAAATTAGGAACCCATAAAAAAATAACCAACCCTCTACGAAGCCTACAAATACCTTTAAAAAAATCCGACCTACGCCTTCAAACCAAACCAATGCAATCCTTATGGCAGCCATTTGCCTGTATCAGTTTTAATACGGTAATAATATTTCGAGTGATTCAAATTCATCAAATAATAAGACAAACATCTTACCGGTAAGTTATCCGAACTTGAAATTTAAATATCTGCACAAATTCTCAATTTGACATGGTGACAATTTCTACATATAAATAAATAAAATAATTCTTACCTTTCGAGCTTCGAAACTACTATAACACGGCTTGGTATTTCGTATTTGGAACCCCACGCCACTCGTGTGGTGGACAGAGAGAACTGTTTACAAGATGCTGTAATTGGTCGAATTCAAACATGCCGCAAAAAACTATCCAATAGATACTGCTTTATGTAACTTCGTTAGGATTCTTTCCTGTGACCAATAACATGGGTAGCTGAATAATAACGAAGTATTTTATGTATGAAGGAGAGTTCGTAAGGCGGGAAAACTCCTTTGGGCTTATTAAAGTGTCCAAGTCTGAAATTGGCTACTGTCTATCTTCACTAACTGTCTATCTTCGTACAATGAAATCGCAAACCTATCTAAACAGATTTTTTCCCGCTAAGGGGAAATTTAATTTTTAAAATGGTTGATTACCGCGGATTTTGTTGACTCAAATAAGGGAGCAGCCTTAACGGATATGTTAATTGAGCAACTTCTTCACAGTCTTCTCTAGATCTTAGGTTTTAGAAAAGGTAATGTACTGTGTTAAAGAATAATACATTTATATATAATTGTGGCGTCGAAAGAATACATATTAATTGGTGCATCCGATATAAATTACAAACGAACAAAATCGAAACGATCCGAATACCCTAATGTTTCAATGAAAAATTACTTTCATTTTTGAAATTCACCAACGATGAAAACGCCATACCTGCTACGATTTTGAGTCAATGTCATAAAATTCGTCAAAAGTCTTTTAATAATTCTATAAAACCAAATTTTATATTCCTTTTTTCAACTTTGATATTTAAGTAATACCTACTGAATAGGTACATGATATTCCTGTTGGCTGAACATGAGGCAATTCCCAATTTGAGATTAAAATTTATATTTATAATGTACAATTGATTTACTGTAGAATATAAAATGTCCAGTTGATCAGTTGTAAAAACAACTATGTGTGTAGTATGATAGTATGAAATAATTAAAACCACAACATGTATACAATGAAAACTGCCGAACGGCTGTCATCAATTGCTCTGAAAAGATATCATACAAACAAGAGCTTTTGTGATTAAATGCTATTCTATCTTCCTTTTTTACTATATAAAAATTGGTTTTTATTCCAATTTGATGATGCATGTGTATTCTTTCGTAAACTCAATCGTATATGTACAAGGATTCTGTTTTGGGGGAAAAATAAAGAAAACGTTATTATAATCAGTCAGTCTTTATTTTTTTTATCTTTAAATCACAACGTTATGCAGTCTTCGACATTTTTACTAATTGATGATCAACAAATCAACATAACAACTCCTAGTTTAAGAAAAAATATTAATTGCGCCTCAAAAATACTTAAAATAGGTGAGGTAATTATTTGAGTAGGTAGGTAGGTATAGATTCTTCTTTTGAATATTATAATTGGTTCTTTAAAAATATCAAACATAAAATTACTTATTTAAGTTGTTACCTAATATCACAATTATAGGTACTTAATATTTATGTAATAAACAAAGTAAATCACAATGTGAGTCACGAGTCACGAAATAATTAGGCACGTGGACACGGAAAAATGTCTTCGTCGCTTGTATGAAATTCAACGTGCCGAACATGACCGATCACAGCGCGAAAACTCCCGAATGCAGTTTCGGTTTCGGCAGGTTTGCCGACGAAACCGAAACTAAACTGAAACCCGTTTTTTTGCTGAAACTCGACCAAAACCGAAACCGAACTTTCGGTCGGACACTATTCTCGCCTGGCTCGAGTTTCGAATTCCCTGACTAATTACCCATCACTCTCTCGGTCCCCGTATTTTTTTCCACCCATTTTGATAATGGTTTCGTACCTACATTTATTCAAACCAGTCGAATGAATTTGTTCAGGGAAATTCTCCAAAAATGTCGGAATTATACAGTCATATTTACAGAATACCTTAGAAAATCTCATCAAATAATCGATTTGAGTAGGTACTTACTGAACTAAAACTGTAAATTAACTATTAAAAATTGGAATATTATAATTTCAAACGTTGTGAAAAAAAAATCCAAGTCCTGATACTGAACAATAAAAATGAATATAAAAAAAATATCAACTCAGGTATTAAAATACAAAGTTACCATAATGACATAACCTATAAATAAATTCAGCAATTATTCAAAACTAACGGAATTTCAGTTATAGAGGAGGTTTTTCTGGTCTATTCCACTATTAAAATTCTCGAAAGTCTTCCTGAGACTGCGCTCAATATACTTGTTGAACTGATTAACAACTCCTTCGAGCAAGGAACATTTCCTTCAATTCTCAAAACTTCGGTTGTCATTCCTCTACATAAAGGCGGCAACAATGAAGACCCAGCAAACTTTAGGCCTATATCCCTCATCCCAACCTTAGCAAAAATAATTAAAAAATTAGTAAAAAAAGAATATGGGAATTTTTAACCAATAATGGGATATTGAGTGCACATCAGTATGGCTTTCAGAATTTCAAGAGTACAAGTGGAGCTATATCAACAGTATTGCAATTGGTGTATAACAGAGACAGGTTGTCTCTGTGTATAATGAAATCAACAGTGGGAAAGCCACTGCAGCAGTGCTTTGTGACTCATCCAAAGTGTTTGACTGTGTCAATCACAGCATATTGTTTCGGAAACTCACAAGATATGGTTTTAGGGACAACAGTCATATTTGGATTAGTTCATACCTTTCTGATAGAAAACAATTTGTAAGAACGTCATCCAACTCGGACATTGGAGAGATAAATTGTGGAGTACCTCAAGGCTCTGTGTTAGGCTATATATTAATGATTTAACCAACATATCGATTACAGGAAGCTTTACCTTATTTGCTGACGACACAACTATAGTGTGACATGACTAGGACAAAAACAGATTGCATAAAAAAATGTGCCGACACATGAAAAAAGTGAAGAATTGGTTTGACTTGAATTTTTTATCATTGAATTCCAGCAAAACAATAAACTTCTCAATGGAATGAAAGAGACTTCTTGTATCATATTCAGAAAGAAATGTACAAAACTATTAAGTGATAAAGCCTATTATGACCTACAAGAATATTTTGAAGATGCCATCTAATTTAGAATGTGTGAAAATTGCGATTGTACTGTGTGTGAAAAACATATTTTTATTCGTTGTCCCAGTTCTTGTCATGTAACCTTTGCATATGTATGTATATATAGTTTATATTGTATATAAATCATTTAAATTTTATACATCACATCTTATACTCATGTTTATATTAATATTTATTTATGACATTGTGTTTGTAACAAGAATTTTATTCTTAAACAATAAACATACTATCTATCAATCAATCAAATCTATTTACGCTCTGGGCCAAACTAAAAAAGTACATCCTTACATATATTGAAGCATTCAAAATAATTAAGTGAGAATAGAAAAATTTGCAGAGAACTAGATCTGGCGAATATGATGGGTGGTAGATCAATTTGTAGCTCAATTGGTGAAGCTTGTTTGTAATATTGTCACCTCAGAAATTCGACTGTGTTAACATGAAAACCGTTTCGAACCACTTTACTACCAAAAAATTACAGATCAGCTCTGAAGTGAGTTAGGTCTTTTATGATTGAAAACAATATATAACAGCTGAAAGCTGTTCTCGCATAAGTATAAAATATCTATGTAATTAAGTGTCAACGAAGGAGTTCCGTAGGGATCAGAGCCAAGACATATTTTTTGTTTTTGTCATTTACCAATAACTTGCAGAGACTACGCCTTTTGAAAGGTATGTTGATGATTCGTCAAAAATTTTTTAGAGATTTTTGGGAAAGAAAGTTTTTGGCTTTCTACTACCATCTTGTTACAAAAAAAGGATGAGAGAATCTTCCAAAGAAAGGAAGGAAGTAATCAATTTGAAAATAAGTATCTGATTTTTATTCCACAACGAATGTTTGAAATACAAACTGAGTAGAGAAAAGTATTTTCTGTATAATTCACTGTTCATATAGAAGTATTTGTTTCAGGAGGACTTTCTTTCAGTTTGTGTCTGAAAGAAAGTCCTCCTTCTTTACATGATCTACACATCCATAAATAGAGTTACTTATTTTCAAATTGATTACTTCCTTTCTTTGGAAGATTCCCTCATCCTTTTTTTGTATCAAGATGGAGTAGTAGAAAGCCAAAAACTTTCTTTCCCAAAAATTAATCACTCCTAAAAATATAACCTCTTCAATTCAAATTTGTAGAGATCTAACGAAATGTTCGATTCTTGCAACGATATTTTGAACACTTTGTCATTTTGGTGCCGCAATAACTTACTTTATTCCGAAAGTTCAAAACACAGGCAATTGGATTTCGCAATCATCTAAAACTTTTCAATAAAATCACTAAATAATATGTGAGCTATCAAGTTATTGGAGGGTTATTATTGATAAATATTCTGTGCATTCTTGCAAATAGAAGCTGTGTGTTATTTCCTTTTCAATTTTGCTGTTGCACAAAGATTAAATAAAACAAACAGTAGTAGAGGGAAATTGATTTACTATCAAACAAAATAAAATTAAATATATTAAAGCTAACAAAATTATATACAAAATAATGCAATTAATATAAATTCATTCAATAAATCGTACCAGTCAAAAGATTTGAACAACAAGGAATGTTGCACAGATTCATAATTATTTAAATACATAAATAACAGCCAAAAGTTACTACTAACTGAAAACATTTCTCAACGACACAATAACCTCATTATTATCGGATTTTTTTGGTAAAGCTAATCGGGGCAGATCATGGATTTTCACTTCTTTCTTAAACAACTGTCCAACACTTCTGCCAATTAGCTGAAATGAAAACAAAAACTTGTATGATACATGGTGGGTCTTCAAAAATAAAAAAAACTTACATTTCCAGTGATCTTCTTGAAAAGATCCTTCTTTACTTTCTCGACCTTATTGCCTTTACTTGTAGTACCAGAAATTCTCTCATCCAGCTTCTGCAAGTCGACAGGATTCACTCCAGGTATTTGTTGCATAACAGCTAGAACTTCAATGAATGCCGGTCGTAGCATTTCGTAGATTTGGGCCCCAAGTGTTAGTAACGACCCCTGATTGGCTTCGTGTTGGCCATGAAGGGTTAAGGCGTTAAGAACTGCTGCCATGATATGTGTCGCTACTTCTCCATTCAAAGACTTGTCAGAGGAGAGTTGCCTAACAATAGGACCTGAAAGATGTTTCATATTATCATCAAATCATGAAATATATGAGGTGAATCATTATGATAGCCAAAGAACAAGTAAGTATCAGTATGGCTTTTTAAGTAATACTTTTTTGAGTAACTGTCTGTAGAAACTTTATCATGTTCATGAATATAATTAATAGCCCATTATCATCTAGTTTTTTTTTATTGAAACACCATGATTCACACAAAGTACATGTAACAATTCATTATATACTTAATGAAAAAAAAAATCAAAACTCCTGAAGATATAATTGGATTACACACTATACTTTAGATATTGAAAAAAACACCCTTTAATGTGAGATTTTCACTTGAATATTTACAAAACTACGATAATGTTATTCATCAAATATAAATTGCATATTTTGTTGAGTTCTTTAAAGATGTGTTTTCAATATTTTTTCAAAAACTTGATTGATATAAACAACATATCTAACATTCACTTCCTTATTAACAAAACCTCTTCCAACCCATTTCTGACAGGTTCACTCACGCCTTCTATAGAAATACACCGGATGGAACTATAATTTGGTCAAGTTGATCATATTTTTGATTCCCTTCATACTGTTACAAATATATTCTAACCTAATCTCTTATTTTTGATCATTAAAATGGGTTTGTTTCATGATTTTTGGTCTACAGTTCATTTGGTAGTAATTTAAAGTTGAAAATAGTGCACTTTGTTTCGTAGCGTTGTTTTCCCGTAATTAAATAGAATTTAACGAACTATATTTTTAAATGGTTCTCGAAGGCTCATGAACCCCAATAAAATAAATCAATTATGCATTCATGCACACCCACCAAAAATAAGAAATTCAACGTTATATATTAGCCATATTGCCATCCAGTCAGCTATTTCTCTTGAATGTATGAGACAATGTACTCCTGTTTCATAACTTCGTATTTTTGTTAAAATAATTGACACTTGACAACACCGCTGTAGACACAATCAATTTTATTGGTCAACAGACACGCGGCCAATTTAAACTCTTGCTTCCTTCTCGATTTTTTTTTCTGCAAATATAAAGGGGTATTGGGACCGATTAGACTTGATAAGTATAATATACCCCTAACTCGATAAGCCTATAAGCAAACCAGTATCATTTTCAATAGCATGAAACAAGCCTATTTATACACTCTGACCTACCTTGTATACACATAATCGCGTTCACGTAATTCTTCATAAAAAATCTTTGAAGATGTAAACACCGATTCCAACCAAAGTAAAAAGTTGGACAAATACATTTTGAGATAATTCAACCATCATTGTTTTAGTTGAAACAGCAAACAAAAAAATTATTTCAAACTCATTTTTCTTACTCGTATATCTACCAGTATATACTCATGATTAATCGCTCTAATTTATTTTGCATGCTCATAATGAGCCATAAATCAACAGGCTCAGCCTGAATTGCAAAACAGAACAGTTTTGAATGACCAAATAGAAATGAATTACCTGTTAAGGCTGTGGCTTTCAACGAAGCGTTACTGTCGATCCAAGATAGGGCACCCAGAACGGTCAGTACAATGGAATGACATGTTTTCTCACTCCTCAGCAAAATTAAACCTAAATCAGAAATAACTTCGTTTGTGATATTTGAACGTGTTGAAGGAGGAGTAGGAGAATCCATACTGTGATCTTCGGTTTCCATTGTCTCAGAGTTGGATTCTGGCGTTACGCTACCTCCGACTAGAGCTACCTTGAGTAAATCCAAGTATTCTCTGGTCAGGGCTCGGGTAAGAATATCTTCCAGCACCTCTTGAGTATCGGCGTTGTCTTCTTGTGCTTCTCGGTTCCGGAACTCTATCACCTGTTGCCATTTCGTGTTCAACCTAGAGGAAACTGTGAAAATTCGTGATTGAGAACAATTAGCCGATTTTTAGTCTGAATAACTTACTTATCGGAGCGAGGTGTGCCATTATAGGTAACACTACTGCTTCGTAAAATGGAGCTGGGCAAGAAAAAATGAACTGTTTCAGATAAACCCTGATAATAGGTCTCACTTTGTAGTCTGGTATATACTGTAAGAAAATATATTTTGTTATTATTTATTGTTTCAACAATAGAGGAGATGAAGTTGTGTGTGGTATAGTTCGACCAGTACTGAGAATGGAGTTATGTGAAACTTGTGTTAGATATTCCAGTATGGATTGAAAGTTAAGGTAGCATTGTAACTTGCCATTTTTAATAAAATTCGAGAAAAATCAAAAAGACAGCATGGCTACCTCGATGATGGTAAAATATACTTTTTTTGGTTAAAATAGACAAAATTGGAAAATGAAAAAATGATGTCAACAAATCTGGAATATTGCGAGCTGTTTTTTATGCAAGGAATATTGTATTATATTAACATGACACTGAATATAACATTAAAACTCAATAACAACTCACAAGAAACTCTTTCAGCTTATGTTGGAAATATGCAACTTAAATTTAAAAGAAAAAATGTATTCATTAAATGGGTAAATCAAAAATAAGAAATTCTGAAAAAAATCATTTTACTTCACTTTCACATCAGAAAATATATTTTCAAATATTTTTTGATCAAGCATCCATTTAA